GATAAATCACAGGGTGCGGGCCACTTTTTCGTGTGTTGAGGATGTCTCGAGCGAAACGCTTGCTCCGCAGAGTTTGCCGAGGATGTCTCGAGCGAAACGCTTGTTTTGCAGAGCCGACCGCGACGCGGAAAAGCGCCCCGCGCGAAGGAATTTCGATGATGTCTCGACTAATTCCTTTGTTTTTGTACGATTTCCTGGAATTTTGGCAGGATGTCTCGAGCGAAATGCACGACCCCACCCTAGCACGACCATACCCCAGCACGACCACACCCCAGCACGACCAGACCCCAGCACGACCCCACCCCAGCACGACCCCACCCCAGCACGACCATACCCCAGCACGACCACACCCCAGCACGACCCGACCCCAGCACGACCCTACCCCAGCAAGACCACACCCCAGCACGACCACACCCCAGCACGACCTCACCACAGCACGACCACACCCCAGCACGACCACGCCCCAGCACGACCACGCCCCAGCACGACCACGCCCCAGCACGACCACCCCAGCACGACCACACCCCAGCACGACCACCCCCAGCACGACCACCCCCCAGCACGACCACACCCCAGCACGACCACACCCCAGCACGACCACACCCCAGCACGACCACACCCCAGCACGACCACACCCCAGCACGACCCGATCGATAAATCACAGGGTGCGGAGCACCCCAGCACGAACCCACCCCAGCACGACCCCACCCCAGCACGACCCCACCCCAGCACGACCACGCCCCAGCACGACCACACCCCAGCACGACCACCCCCCAGCACGACCACTCCCCAGCACGACCCCACCCCAGCACGACCCCACCCTAGCACGACCACACCCCAGCACGACCACACCCCAGCACGACCCCACCCCAGCACGATCACACCCCAGCACGACCCCACCCCAGCAAGACCACACCCCAGCACGACCGCACCCCAGCACGACCTTACCACAGCACGACCACACCCCAGCACGACCACGCCCCAGCACGACCACGCCCCAGCACGACCACGCCCCAGCACGACCACGCCCCAGCACGACCACGCCCCAGCACGACCACCCCCAGCACCCCCCCCCAGCACGACCACCCCCCCAGCACGACCACCCCCCAGCACGACCACCCCCCAGCACGACCACACCCCAGCACGACCACTCCCCAGCACGACCACACCGCCTTGGTTGAGTGGTTGCCTGTCGTCGTGGAATGTTTCGTGGGGTGTCTCGTGGAATGTTTCGCGGGGTGTCTCGTGAAATGTTTCGTGAGGTGTCTCGTGGAATGTTTCGTGAGGTGTCTCGTGGGCTGTTTCGTGAGGTGTCTCGTGGGATGTTTCGTGAGGTGTTGCCCAGTTGGGTATCATGAAAACGTGTCCATGCTCCACATGTCTATATCCCTTTCCGGGTTCGTGGGTCCATCATGTTTTTTTCTGCCGCCTCTGCCATTTGCCGAAGCGACATGATTGGCTGACTGCCCCCAAGCCAATGAACCAACGAAAGAGGATAAGGGACGAGGAGGAGGAGGGATGAGGAGAATCAGGAGGAAGGATGCGGATGATGATGATGCCGATTATGATGATGATCATGATGATGTTGTTGATGATGATTTTGATGACGAGGCTGATGCTGATGCTGATGATGACGATGATGATGCTGATGACGATAATGATAGTGATGCTGATGATGATGATGATGATGGGGCTGATGATGATGATGATGATGATGATGATGATGATTATGATGATGATGATGATGATGATGATGATGAGTTGGATGATGGTGATGATGGTGATGATGATGATGATGATCATTTTGCTGCTTACGATGCGGATGATCATGGTGATGATGATGCTGGTGAGTATGCTGATGGTGATGGCGAGTGCGGTGATGATTATGATGGTTGTCATGGTGGTGGTGATGGTGATAGTCAAGATGATTGTAGTAATGAGGACGATGATAATAATGATGACGATGATGATGATGATGATGATGATGTTGATGGTGGTGATGATGATAACGATGAGGATGAGAAGGATGATGATGATGATGCTGGTGATGATAGTGACGATGACGATGATGGCCATGGTGATGGTGATTCTGATGATGTTGAGGGTGCTGTTGATGATTATGAGGATGATGACGGGGATTACTGTGATGATGATGGTGATGAGAATGATGATGATGCTGATGCTGATGCTGATGATGATGAAGAATATGGCGAGGATGAGGATGATCATACTGGTGAGGATGAGGATTCTGATGAGGATGCTTAAGGCGGTGAGGTGACGGTGGGAATGATTATGATGAGGATGGCGACTGGCGATCATTATGACTATGGTGATGCGGCCGATGATGATGATGATGCTGATGATGATGATGATGATGATGATGATACTGCTGCTGCTGATGATGATGACGACGATGACGATGATGAGGTTGATGATGATTATGCGGCTGATGAGGATGCTGATGCTTATGCTGATGATGCTGATGATGATGCTGATGATG